GAATTAAAATGAAATTACATACAATATGAAGACATAGGGAGATTAATTGAACGAAAATTGCATACCTCAAATAAGATAGAACTCCAACCTAATCTTCCCCAATTATTCAATAGAAAACTATCCAAGTTGTAAAGACTTCAATTTACGAGAGGAGAGGAGAGGCTGGAATATGAAACTAAAATGTGTTTCGAATTTGAAGAGAGATAGAGTAACATAGAGCCGTAGAAAGAGAGAAAGTGAGCGAGAGAGAAGAGATACTGGAGAGGATATAATATGTGTGTTTGTGAGAGAATGAATGAAAATTAAATTTTTAGCGAGTTATGAATTGTATTAAAAATTTCAATTAAAATGGTTCCAAACCGTTACATAAAACACCTTTATGTTACTATTTATGAAAACCCCTATAGAATTAAATCTTATGCAACGATTTTTGCAATGGTTTACCTAATTCAATATGGAAAAAATAATTTTGGCCGTAATGGTTTGAAATCGCTACAAAACCACTACATATGATTATAATATGCAACGGTTTTTGAATCGTCGTAAAAAAACCACCGCATAGTGTAAAAAATGCGGTAGTGTTCTACGAAAAAGGGATGGACTCTTTAAGGTCAACAATAGAAAACCTCTTGCCCTAATCATCTTCTTCTTACTAGAAAAGGAAGATCTAATAGCTTGATGGCGAGAAAAGAGGTTATGGAAGAGTAATGATAATATTATAAATAGCTTTTGTGCCATCTATTAGATTGAGAATTTCAAAGTCTTTAATTAATATCCATAGATACCTTAAACGTAGGATTGAAGGTAGTAAGAAAAAGGACCTAAATTTCTTGACATAAACTATATTGCTTAAGAAAAAGGTTTGGGTAGTAAGATTTAACATAGAAACCATCAACAAGAGGCAAAGGGATCTACTTATGGGTTATAACTAATCTCCAATACTCAAGATTGGTACCCTCAAGCACATTATGCAAAGAACAATCCCTATACTAAACGGACCTACACTTCATAGAAAGGAAAAGAGTCCAGGCTTCATAGGAAAGTTGATCGAACGATTCCAATAAAATATGAAGAAAAGTCGATCTTTTTCACTAAAGAAATGTAAGTATGGAAATAGTGACCATATGTTCACGAACCCAACATTAGCATTAAAAGAGAAAGATTTGGAAACAAAAGAAGAGAAATATATTATGGCTCAAAAGGTTACCAATTATAATGGCCCGAAGAGTTTTGGTAAAAAGTAAAGGAAACGACTCGAAATAAACTATGATTGACATAAGTTGAAAGAAGAAGGGCTAAAGCCACAAGACCATCACTTTTGAAAATAGTTATTGCCATAAGAAGGAATCTAGAACTAATTGTAGTACTCCTATAGTAAATCACATACTTACAGAGCCACAGGAGATAAAAGCCCGGTTCTCGATGATCAAGATTAGACAAAGAAAGCAAGTTCTAAGCATAGGTAGTATATGCCTTCATGTCGATCACCTTAAGAGGAAAGCCCTCTCCGTAAGATAAATGATTAGCAACACAAACCTAAGAACGAGATAAGTCTATTCCATAAAAAGTGCTCGTTAATGAAGCCACATCAATTGCGATATGTGATGATACATTTATTACCGTGGTTCCATAAAGAAATCACGGCTCCAAAAAGGGGAGGATTGGGAGTAAGGGCATATTCTAGAGTAAGTTCAAGGATTTCTCTTATCCTCGGTTCGTCCCACGTTGCCAAAGAATAGTACAAGGCATAAACCTCACTCTAACCCATAGGAAAAGTTCTAGAAAGACATTTGGAAAAGCCGACAAAATTTTCCTAGTGTATGTCACGAGAAACTTTGGGGCGCATAAAATTTTGGCCTTAGCATCAAGAATTAATTAGCGTAGAAGGTTGCAAGCCTAGGAAGAAATTCCGTGAGATCGAGTCTTCAAAAAATGAAGGGCCAAGGGTAAAAAGTGACAACAAAGACTTGAACCTAGGGAGATTGGAAGGTAATTTCTAGTTTTTCCTCCATATTGCAAGCCTTGAATTTTAGTGTTTGGTTGCTTAAATTCATAGTTTGTTGCTTTAATATTGTTATTAAATTACATATTAGATTAAGAAGCTTTAATTCTTTCTTAATTTGTAGTTTTTTTTGAGTTATTTTCTCTCTAGTCTCGCAACCCAACCACCTCGGAAAAGTTAAGATTTCTTCGCAAAGTGGTCTTCTAGACCATTGCAGGCCCCTCCTTTTTTTTTTTTTTTTTGCACACTTCTAGTTTCCTTGCCACATCAAAACATTAAAATATCATAAATAGTAGTTGTAGCTTACATTTATAAGTTAATTTGATTCATCTACTTGCAAGATTGAGAGATTGACTACTTTGTAAAGTGCTTATGAATTATCTTTTGATTCTTTTGATACAAAGTCCTCTTAATTGAGGCCAACTCAAAAAAAATTTACAACACTATGATAAAAATTTTATACTTTCATATATCTCTTTTTAGGCAATAGTTTTTTTACTTTTGATTTTTTTTATACATGAATAAAGAGGTAAGAAAAAAATTCAAGTAGTAAATAAATAAATAAAAATTGATTTATTTTTTTTTAAATTGATAATAATTCTCTTTTTTATTTTTAAATTGAAATCAATAGAAATATCATACCTAGGGTTTTAAGAGACCTAAACTTCATTCTTTTCCTCGTTGATTCCCTCTAGGTTAGGTTTAGAAATCTTAACCAAAACTATTGGACTAGGATTAATCTCTCTATCCGAGAATCCTCTCCTTTACCTTGTAGATTTTTTATTGTGATTTTCCTTCAAGGATAACTTCACAACATCCTACAAAGTCTAATATTTTTATAATTATACTACACTAGCAATCTCGAGTCTTAATCTCTCTAAAATCCTAGCAACCATGTGCTCTTTAGGCTAATTAATCTCACACTACACATTAGTTATTCAAATTCAAAAGCAAATACTTCTACACTCTGATCTTTCTACCTAAAATTATAAAATCTAAGATAGGTATCTTATCTATAATAGTCGGAAAAATACTTATGATTTAAGGCCTTCTTAATCTAGTTCCATATCATAATTTTGCTCTTTCTCTCTTGGCTCCTCTTTTTTTTCAAATTCCTCCACCATATAGAGGCATTCTTCTTTAATTTAATGGCCACAATCTTGACCTTCTTGTCATCCAAACATCTTTGTAATCAAACATCCTCACTACTCGTGTACATCCATTCAATGAAGTCATCAAGATTAAGTTTTCTTTCAAAATCAAGAATTTCCACCTTGACACCAAAATCATAGTGCTCGGTGACTTCTTTCTACATGCCCTAGCTGCTTAGACCCTTTTTCCTTTGAAGGTTCATTTTGTAGGGGATGGAAAGGATTCTCTTTATGGACCTCCTCTTTACCTTTACACTCTCGACCATTTGCATCATAGTCCCTTTTATCATACTCTTGAAGTCTTTGTAGCAAACTCGCATTCTCACATTGTAGGTTTGCCATGGACATTTGGTTTAATTGTCTTCTCGGAGGCATCATCACAAAACTTTATTAGAAACATGCACGTAAAGCTAACTAAAGCTCTAATACCAAGTCGACATCGGCTTTGCGATAATTAGCTCAAAGTCGAAACAATCAAACCCTCGCTTGATGAAATCCAAAACTTAACAATAAAAGTAACCTTAGGTTTAGTTAATTTTAGTGAGATTTAGAACCTCATTGCAATCTAAGCTAACAATGATGAATAGCACAACTTAAGAGATCAATTCAAGGATACGAAACATGAACTCTAAGATAAGCATAAGAGTTATGCAAATTAGGAAAAAATTTCTCATAAATTTTATTCAAAGATCAAATTATTATGCCTTTTGTATTGCATAAGGATGTTTAAATATAAAGGCATAACGTTGACCAACTTGGACATAACCTTAAGCCATTCGGACATCAACACATTAAGCCTATTCAGATCACAATAAACCTAACATAAATCCAAACTTAATAAAAAACTAAAATAAACTTTAAGCATAAATAGGAATTCTTATGAAAATAAGATAAATAAAAATATCTAAAAAATAAAGCATAATAAAATAAATATGTTGAAACAATTGGACCAAACTAGCCTTGAACATTTAGTCAAGAAAGGGTTTTATAACAAAAATTTTCCCATGTTCTATTACAATTTGGCAACTTTAGACCTTTATTATCAATTTACATATTTTGAACCCCAAATATCAATTTTTAGGCAAATAATACCCAAATTTCCTCTTTTTTTTTTTTTTGTTAGTTGTAACTATTAACTAAGTTGATCGTTATGAAAATGCTTAAATGATATTGTTTAAGCATTCCATATTTATTTAAAAAAATAATAAAAAAAGAAAATGTTCATAATTAAGGCAATTAGATAAATGACATGTTATCTATCTTATCCCCTAAATTCTAATTCTAATTGCAGAGAGAGCTAACAAGAGAGTGAGTTAGGTTCTCAAATCAATCATTTTATCCCTAAAAATCAAAAGTGATAGAGAGCAAGAGACTATGTCAAGGTTCATGATATAGTTAATTTTCTTGTTCCTTAGTTTTACCGCCATCCTCATCTTCATTCTCTCTACCACTCCATCCTTTAATTCTTTAAATGGGTTATCTCTCCATGATTTTAAAAAGCTCTCAACATTTAGATTTTTGACTAAGATAAGACCTTAAATGGGTGTTAATTAAACTTCATGTGTTGTTTGTCTTGAAGAGAGGAAGCAAGGACAATGGTGTAAATCTTGTTGGGTGTGGTCATGTGTTTCATAGAAAAAGTGTGGATATATGCTTGGCTTGTTAAGGTTTTTGCTTGTACTTGTTTGCAGGAGACAAGTTAAATTCGATCACAAGGCAAAGTGTAGTCCATCATGAGACTTTTGTTGAACAAATGAATTAAGGGTTTAATAGATTTTTCTTTGTCTTTTTCTAATTGTAAGTTTTTATTAAATTTTGAGTTTTTTTTTTCAAATTCTATGTAACAAATGAACGAATGGTTTCAATTTCAAGTTTTTAATATGAAAAGCGAGTATGCTTATTTTGGTATATAATTCTCTTAATGCCATATGGTTTGTTTTGAATATGAATTTTGGTTGTTAGATTCTTGATTTAGCTTCTAATAATATAATTCAAACGTGACTACTTTGATATGTTAGAATTGAATTGATCAAGATTTATGATTTTAAGATTTTAGGGCTAAATTGCTTTCCTTTAAATCGTTACCCACATAAGTTTAAAATCATTAGGAAGAACTCTCCCACTATCCGCCCTTCCCGTATGAATTAGAATCGAATTACGGGGTAAGATAGACAACATATCGTCCGTCTTATCCCTTAATTCTAAATGTATTTTTTAAAAAATTAATAATGGAATGCCTAAACAATCAACTAGGTTGATCATTTAAGCATTTCGTGTAATGATCAACTAGGTTAACCATTACAAATAACGAAAAAAAAATGATTTTGATAACATTTGTCCCAAACCAATATTTTAAAATTTAAATTATGTAAATTGATAATAAAAGTCCGAAGTTGCCAAATTGAACTAGAACAAGAGACAATTTTTACCATAAAGTCACCTAGAAAGGCATAGGCCACACTCTCATGTCAACTCTTACCATATCAAATTTTAACAAATACATTCTTGTGGTCTTAATGAGCAACTAGGTGCCTAACTTAGAAAGTAAAAACTTAATATCGATTGACGTGAAGACCGGTCCAAAGATAATTCACTATCTTTAATACATAAAAAACCATTTGAGCAATTAGGTTATAATGTTTAGTGCTTTTTTTTAAGCCTTTTCATTTTTAAACTTTTTAAAGGTAAACTTTTATTTCTTAGAACTAAAAAATTCAAATTTCTTTTAATGGTTGTATGACATTTTTGTTCAAAAGTGATGAAAAAAAGCCTATATGGAAGAAAAAATGAATATATAAATATATGATAGTATGAAATTTTTAGAAGTTCACTAGTAGCGGACATAGGACCAAATATCAACGGGGCCAAAATAGATATTAATAAATTTATCATATTTTACACAAATTTATATGTCTTTTAAATAACATACCAACATATATTTTAAAATAATATCAAAATACAATCACTCAAAATAGAAATTTTCGTTCTTTTAAGTCACAAAAATCATTTATGAGCAAATCCATACTAAAATTTTCAGCAATTTCTTTTTCAATATAGACTAATAAGCAATCGAAAAGAAAGTCATCTTCCATCTTGCTATTAAGCTTGTTATTGACTATGTCCATAGCTGAAAATAACTATTCCGTAGTAGTAGTAAAAGCTGAAAGAGTAAGAATAAGTGTTATCACTCTATACACAAGTGAATAACTTTCAAATTTTCTTATCTTCATCGACTATTGACACAAATTAAATATAGTTAACAATGTTTCCAAATCAAAAAAATTTCGTACATGATCAAAAAGCTCAAATTCGTTTGAATAACTCCTAAGGATAGGCATGATGATTATCTAGAGAAAATTAAAATTCTTATAAATAAATTAGAATAATGTAAAAAAAAAAAGCTTTTAAAATATTTTAGAGAGAAAATTAGTTTTTATTGACCCACAAATTAGTTTCTTAAATTAAATTCTCTATATTTTAAAAGATTTATCTTACAAGTAATTACAATTTCAACCTCTTATTCTCTATTATATGTTGTAAATCTCTCTCACGATTCATCCATCTTTATTTGAAAGATTGGTGAAAATATTCTATTTTCAAATAAATAAAATATGTTAATCATAAATACACATTTTCATTTGTATTAAAAATAAGCAAAAAAATTATCAATATCACCCATTTTTTATGTTTATTTTTATCTCTATTCTCTCTATTTTCAAATAAATAAAATATGTTCATCATAAATACACATTTTCATATGTATTAAAAATAAGGAGAAAAAACTTATCAATATAACCACATTTTTTGTGCTTTTTCTTTAGAGGGGAGGTGGGCTCTGGATATGGATACATGAAGCACATTTTGTTGTCCATATGATATTAAAATAGTGCAAAATGATATAGTATAGTATGAGCGAAAAAAAAAAAAAAAAGGTCAGAAGCATTTGGGCTTAGTTATAACTGTATAGAGGGGAAAAAAACTTAGAGGGGGCCCGAGCCCCTATAACAGACAATGTGGGTCAGTCATTGAAGGTCCCATGAGAGAATATGCTCAATATATTAAGATAAATATATAAATTAATTCTTTAAATTAAAGCACATGTATTCATGGACATTCACATTAAAATAGATGTGATTTAAATGATTTATCATAATTGAAAAAATATATGAAAATGTAAATGAAAATCATATAAATTTTGATATGGTATATCAATTAGAACAAGTGGCTTAATTTAAATTGCAGATACAAAGTTGTGGGTACTTTTGAATTACTAGTTCAGGAAGCATGAACATATTCTTTATCGACCGCCAAGGTTGGCTAGATTGTCCTTTACTACTTATAAAAAAAGAAATAATAATAATAAAAATTGAGCAATTGGATTCCTATGTTTTGGCCTACGAGGCACTATAGGTCCCGGTCCGTAGCCAACTCAAAATTTTCATTGATTTTGATTTTTAAATACATGGAAGAACATGTGTTAGATTTCTATTGATGTCAATATTTAAAAAAATAATTAAAAATTTTAAAAATATATTATTAAACACAATTTGTTATTTTTTATTTATTTATATACAATTCAATTAGAAAAGATGCAACAAATAAAATTCAAACTATCAAGAAAAATTAAATTAAAAAAACATGCTTATGAAAAAAAAAATTATTACCATCAAGTGTCTTCAATAAAAAAAAATCCATCATTTTTTTCTTTTATTAAATAATATAAGACTATTTTTTGTTTTAATTGATTCAAACGATCGCTATTTTAATTTTTTTTAATAAATTTATTATAAAAATAATGAAAAATTAACAAAAAAAAAATTAATCAAAATTTTATACCATGATATATCCGTTTTCAGGCAATAGCTTATTAATCAAATTTTTTGAATTTTTAAAATATTTTTTGTTTGTGTTTATGTGTGATTAAAAATAAATAAATAAAAACTTATAGTAGTAAATAAATAAATTGGATTATTATTATTATTATTATTATTATTTCTAGAATTGGAATCAATAGAAATATCACACACAGGGCTTTATGGGACCGTATGGCAGACCTGGAAGAAAATAAAAAAAGCATTAAAGAAAACTGGTACCGTAATACACCGGTAGACAACATCAGCAACATGGCCTTGGCCGCAGATGATGAGGTCGGTAGAAAAACCCAAAAGACAGCGAGGTAATTCGCCACCCCCAAAAAGAAAGAAAGGAATCTTCGAGATAGATGACGGTTGGGACATGGATACGTTCGATTAGGAAATTGATAGAATTATTAAGTTGTCTGGTTATGAGGGTAACCTTGATCCCAAGACTGAGGAAGAATTAGTTCGTTATTTTGGTGATTTTCGAAATTCTAAGGTAATTTATTCTGATTGAAAACAGCAACAATTGACTTTTATTTATTTGTTAATGTTTACTCTGTTAGGGTTTTGACATTGAGAATGATGGTCCTTGGGTCGAACGGTGGATGCACCCTGTTGATCATCTCCGGGGTCCGGAGGCTGCAACCATTGAAAGGTGTGCTCGTATTGCTGTTCATCGTTACAATGTGAAAAAGTTATAGTTTTCAAAGCTACATGGATCTTACTTGTTATAACAGGCTGATCGAATTCTAATTTGAACTTTTGTTGATGCACGTAGAAGGGCAAGAAAATTCTCAAGTTTGACAGGATTGTCAAGGCAACTCTGGCTATAGAATGTCTTCGTGTTTACTTCATAACCTTGGAGGCTAAAGAGGAATCTAAAAATGAGACAACAACTTACCAGGCCAGGGTAAATTATTATAGTCATAGGTATCCTGATGGTACAGGATTTCGTGAAGGCTTTGATGTGCAGATTTTTAGGCCAAAAAAGCCACAACTAGAAGTTAATAAAGGTAACGGATTGGTTTATCTTTACTTTTATATCTTAATCAAACATGCCTATTACTTACCAATTATCCTTCTTGTTTGTTAATGAATTTCTTATGATGGTTTAGATAACTCTTTTGTCTTGGTCATGCTATTTGTTTGTGGCATCATCCATTTATGACTTTGTGAAGTCAAGGATCTTTTGGCCATTTCGTTTTATGATGCTTCTGATTTTCAGTTATCCAATCCTTCTAGCTATCGATGATCCTCTCTTTTAAGTTACTAAAATTTGACTATTATGAATGGGAGGATTTGAGTAACCGTGGTTTAGTTGCTTTCTCAACTATGTTATTGGGTTATCTCGTTATTTAGTTCCCAATCCATTTCTATTTTCCATGGCCTATCTTTTGCTTCCTTCCATTTTTATTTATTTATTTATTATTATTATTAATTTTTTCCGTCTAATTCATATAAATTATGTTAGTGTTAAGTTGCCATTCTTTTCTCTGTGATATTCTAATACCATTTCAGGGAGGGATGGTAATTAGGCAGATTCTGTGCATGATGAGGGATGAAAATAACAAATGGGAACACGAATAAAATGAAGGATAGATGATGCTCAGCCCTTGAGAGAGATAGAATTCTAGTACTCTAAGGAGAATGAACAAGGATTAAACTCACAAAACCTAAGGATACAGAAAAATGACCACCACCTTAGAGATTATACTTCAGATAGCTCACCCTTCAATGGAATCCACCAAAGAGATACACAACTAAAAATAAGCTAACAACCTCAACTTGATGACTTTCATCAATTCAATAATTGATATCATTTACATTGACGAAACACTTTTATTTACATTTGGAACAATATCTCCAAGCTAGTCTTAGAGGTTGATTTTATTGAGAACTTGGACCATTTATTGACTCCACAAGCATTCATGCGATCTTTGGCTTGATTGTCAAAGTTCAGTGTGGTGGTTGTTGACAAACAAGGCAGAGTTATGCAAGTTAAAATTAATACAGGGAGAGATTTATTATTTCCTGACAGCCTACACACTTGAGAGTAAAACTGTCATAACTCCTTTATGAAGCACTGATTTGTGCACCGTTTAATGCATCAAAAAGTAGACACATGTAGCTTTCTTGTCATGTATGGATTGCCTACTTTTTTTCTGCAGAATTGATACATCCTAAAATCTGAGAATGCTATGAGAATTTTCAGCTGTCCAAAACCATGTTTAGCACCAGTATTTATCGCATCTTCATTTTCCCATTTAAAATTTTTTATTTATCAGTTATGCTCCTGCATCATATTCTGCTGTGGATGTCACAGTGGATCTCGTCTCCTTTCTGCTCTCTGTGAAACAGTGTTTATGCCATCTTATCATTATGCATTGTTTTGTCGAGTTGTTTCTGTTTGGTTTGTAGCTTGACCTGATCCATCGTAGTTTTCATTTTGTATTTTTGTTCATGATTCTAGTTCTTAATTTTTCTTCTTTCTTATGGATGTAGAATTATGGAACTGGAATGTAATTTTTAAAATATTTTATTTCTACTTTCATTAGCCATTGATGTTATATTTCTTTATTTTTCAAATAAATTTCACTTACCTTTTCCATTTTGTTCTTTAATTCCAATACTGAGCTTCTACTGAAACATATATAACTCAGAACCTCAGGGGCTTAAGTTACCAAGTGTAAACCAAAATTTCTCAAACTAGGTTGTATTGTTACAGTCTTTAAACATCACGTAGCATTTGAAGTTGAGGTTGCGGGGAATATATTCAGTTGTTATAGAAGGAGCTCAATTTTTGGTTGATTTCCAGACTCCTTTGACCTTTTTAAACGACTGGTCTAGTTTCGTTTGTTATTTTCTTTCTTTGTTTGTTTTTTTTTTTTTTTCCAAGAAAAGAAAATTCTAATGTTTTTTGCTTATGTTTTTATGTACCAATTTGATGCTTTTCTTTTATGTGCAGATACATTAGTGTCTTAGCTGATCAAGTGTCGTTGAAGGTGGTTAATTTGGTGTCGTTTGGAGAGAATTGTCGAAAATATGCTCCAGTCAGATGGGATTAATAATGTATTTGATGTTAATTTTTAACCTTTTCAACCATGACAAGTATATGTCTATATGACACTGATGTATGATTGTTGTTAAGGATATATGCCAGTACTTATGTTTCTATTTCCATTACCCTCTATATTTCTTATATATTTGTTTCTTTTCTATTCAGTATCCTTTTCTTTCTTTGCAAAGTTGCATGTAATTTCCTGTTTCCTGGTGCACCGATTATGTATCCCATGGTTCTTCAAAGTTTGTCCTCCAAAACTTAATGGCACATGGAAATTATAATAAAGTTAAAATCAAACCAAATAAACAAGAATATTAATAACATAAAAATAAATCGTATAATATTATGAAGAAAAAACCTTGTCATTTGAATAATGATGGTCTTAAGTTTTGAATCTACTACATCTAAATTGATTTAGGCTAAAATAACATTAAATAAACACGATAAGTGTAAAATTTAATAAAAATAGACATCTATGGAACATACATTATATAAAGACAATTTCAAAGAAGTTCAAATAATCAATTAGCCTTTACAGGTTCTGTCTTTATTCGTTTGTATTTGCTTATTTTAATTTTCACACCACAAAAAAGAAAAAAAAATTTGCTAGTATGTTGTTAGCTTCATAGTTAACGAACGATTCTTTACAAACTTTTTATATGAAAATAAAAATATTATATTGGGCGTCAAAAACCCTTAGCCTCGTTTTTTTTTTTTTTTTTTTTTAAAGAAATAAATAATAACAAATTTAGGATGAGCCATAAAAATATACGAGATGCGTGTGGGCTCTGTGGTGGCTGTGCAACCCCACCTCCATTAAAAATAAAAAATAAAAAAATTAGGAGTTCTTTTGTATATATATCTATATATATATATATATATTGGGAGCACAAATAGGATAATGACAAGAGCTGCATTTTCTGAGGAATAAAGGGATCCAAAACGTTGAAGACATGATTCCAAAATGAATTTCAAACACACTCTTTAAAACTATGCTCGTTTATAGAAGAACATTAAGTACTGAAATAGTAACCATATGTCAATAAATCTATATTATCATCAAAATACAAGGACTTAGAAATTAAATGAGGAAAATAGGCCGAAGTCCAAAAGTGACTAACCCCGAAGGCACCAGGCTCATCATATCTGAACAAAGCCACAACTATCGGTAAATAAATTTAACTTACAATGGTACTCCAGCAACAAATCACATCCTTGTGGAGTTACAATAGATAGAACCCCAGCTTTATATCATTGCAATCATTTGAAAGTAAAAAGACCTATGCACAAGTGGCGTATGGATTGACGTGGACTGCCACTTATGGAAACTGAGCCTTATAGGCTGTGCCATTGTTGACAGAAGCTTGGGAGCTATAGATATCAATGCCAAAAAGAGAACAGTCTGTTAGAGACACCACATCCTCTAAAGTGATACCCATGGGTCCCTTAAGAGTATGAATACAATTATTGCTCATGTCGTATAGAGTAATCACAGTGCCAAAGGGCGAAGAATTAGAGATAAAAGTATAATCCAGGGTAAGGCCAAGAAGTTCCTTAATCCTAATCTTCTCTCACTTCTCTTGATTACGAGGGTGGTGCTTCAAATGAGAATATATACAAAGCATACACTTTAGATTGCCTATTGGGCCACGTTCTATAAGAACACTTGGAATGACTAGAGAAGTGATTCCATTTGATATTATGGGCAACCTTAAATTTAAAAAGTGATTCAACCCTATCATCTTGAATTGAATTCCCTAATAATTCTCGAGCTTTGCAAAAAGCATCTTTATGGCCAAAGTCATGAAAAAAGAGAAAGGTCAAGAACATTAGCATGGTTGACAGTAAAATATTCAGACGTCTACAGAAAGAACCCCATGATAAGGTGAAAGAAGAGAGACGATTATACCAGTCAAAAGTCGTGAGATCAAGGAATTGGTTTAAACAGAAGGTCCAGTAGCAAAGCAGAAGAAGAAATGGCCTCACTTGGACGGGAAGACCTCTAAGCTTTATGTTCAGAAGAAGAGCTGGAAGTGCATTTCTTAGGAGCCCTGGAGATTGCAAGACACTAATAGCGGCAAAGAATGACGCCCTCAATTTACGAAGAAGTGAGGAAACAAAAATTGCAAAGTGGCAAGATAAATATTACTTTATTTATATGATCACTACAACAAAATAAATGCGAGACGAAAAGACCAAATTCAACGAGTAATTGCAAAATAAGTTATACCTTGAAAATTGAAAAATGAGAAATTAATTGGGCTCAAAAGAATTATTTTTTTCCACACATGGTAAAAACTTCCACATATGAACAGAAAAGGAGCATTTCAGCATAGAGTGAAAAGTTGGAACAAAACATGAAGCACTGTAGAGGTATAAGAAAAAGTTTAGAAAAACATGAGTACCTATAGAAAAAGATCATGAAAGAGAATAAGGCCTATAAATACAAGCTGTAACATGAGAAAAACACACACAGTATAACACATAAATAAACTTAACATGTAAATTGTAAACATCTCCCAAAGCACTATCATAAATTTCAACGCACTTGAAACTTATTAATTAGGTTATGGATTATAAACAATAATGTGTAGGCTATAATCAAATATGTTGTAATTAAGTAGGTTAATAGTTTTGTAAGTCGATAGATTGGTTCTTGACTCTAATCTAGTACACGTAGTTCGTGATCGTGAATAATTGTCATGTCTGAAATATCCATTTACATGCATTTTTTATTGTCAACAAATGTGATTTTCTCTTTAGAAGTATTATGTTGTTAAGTTTAGCTTGCAATCTTGTTTTTTCTCCTACCTAGGTTGTTTAACTTGTAGCTTTTATTTCAAAATTGTTTGTTTGTTTGTTTTTTAATTTCAAATTAGTTTAAGACATTTGAATTGGTTGTTTAAAATTATTATCGGTATGAGTAATTATCCTTTCAAACTTGCAATCCAGCCAAGCTAGATAGATTACAAACTTCATTAGAAGGTTGCAAATTGACTTTAGGTTGCTTGATTTAGTTATTTTATTCTAGAAAAAAATATCAAAAGCATTCTTAGGGGAAGTAGTAACACTCCATAGGATCATTAATTAAGCTTTTTTATATTTAAGTCTGAAAGTTAGACTGTTTTATAAAACATATCTAACCAATATTTATTCATTTTGTATATAGTCTTGTTAATTGAGGCATGCAC